TGATGTAGAGAATACCATGAAAAGATTTAATTATATGTGTAGAAGCTATGGTGTGGAAATTAAAGATGTCACTATCGTGGCCACCGAAGCAACTCGCACTGCGCCTAATTCTTCAGATTTTCGTGAAAGAATAAAAAAATCATTTCAAGCACCCGTTAAATTATTAGACAAAAAAGAGGAGGCTATAGTTTCTGGCAAAGGAATTGCAGCAACTTATAATGGCGTGGAAGGTTTAGTGATGGATATGGGTGGTGGATCTGTAGAAATAAATTATTTGAAATTTGATCGAAAAACTGCCGAATTCAAAATATCAGATTCACCAATAAATCTTCCTTATGGTGCTGCCGCTTTAACAAAATTATTGACACAAAATAATACTCCTGAGAAACTTACTGAATTATCAAATAATATAGTACAAGATTTAAAAAAAGGGATTGCAAGCTTAGATGCTCCTGAAGATGTCAAAGTTGATGGGAAGTTTACCGTCTATATGAGTGGTGGTGGATTTCGTTCTTTAGGTTATTTATGTATGTCAGAAAGTGGAGCTGAATGTGATTCAGGTAAAAAATATTCTTATTCAATCCCAATAATCAATGGTTTCTATACATCTTCCAAGAAATTGAAAAAAATAATAGAACCACTTACACCATCAAAACAAGTAGAATTTAAAACATCACCAGAATTAATATTTCCTAATGGAAATCCATTTCGTGTCGATAACAGGCGTGCTAGATTAATGCCAGCGTGCTGTTTCTTAATCAATGCTATAATGCAATGCATTGATATAGGTGATATTTATTTTTGTGAAGGTGGCATACGTCAAGGAATATGCTTTCAAATGATGGACAAAGAAATTCAAAAATTAGATCCATTAGAAACCTTTATTGAGAAAACCCCATTACAAACGGACCAGATTAAATATAGAACCCAACATATACTAAATATTTTGAAAGGTTCCATACCAGAGAAATTTGATGAAATACTTGATTCTGATGTCACTGGTAATAATAAACCAGAAAGACTCAAACGTCTTCTTCCTAGTATTATATCACTATCACAATGGTCAATGAACCTTGCAAAAGAAGCACGCCCAATCAACGGTTTTGCCTTACCACTTGCAGGTGGACTACTTTGTAACACTCCTGGACTAACTCATGTTGACAGAGCAATTATATCATGGTGTTTAATGTATAGATATTTTAGTGATGCAAATGAAGGTGAAGATGGTGTAGAAAAAGATATTAGTGTGATGGAACCTGGTTTATTTATAGGTATAAAAAATATGATTCCTGGTGGAGAGAGTGGTAGAAAGGTTTGTGAATTCATTGGAAAATTAGTTGGGTTTATTATTTTGTGTACGCCAGTTGGTAGTTCAGTAACTAATTCCACAAGTTATTCAAAACGACCTAAAACAAAATCAACAAACAAATCCAATTATAATAATAATAATATTTCAGACTTTGATAATCAATTAATTAAATTTAAATTAGAAAAATCAACCTATGAAATAGGAACATCTGAAAATCTTATGACAGAGACTATCAATATAACATTTTTAGATTCTGATAAATTATTCATTGTCAAAAATCCGCTTGTCAAAGAATTCATTGGTTTCATTAATAATTTTAGTTATACATTTGAGTTCAATCCAAAACATCAGGATTCGTCAATTGAAAAATTAACAGTTAACATCAAAATTAATGAAATTCCTGAAAATGACCAGGAAGAAACGGAATCTGGACAACTTTCTGAAAAAGAAGAGGAAAAACCAGAAAAAGAAAAAGAGGGTGTGGAAAAAGATAAAGAAGGGAAAGAAAAAATAGTAATTCCAAATGGAAATAATCAAAAGAAATTCAAGTTTCTCAGAAAACTCACCTTGAAATTAAATATAAAAAAGACCAGATCAAATGAAAAATCAACATCTTCTTCAAAAGAATAAAAAAAAAATTAAAATTTATTTATGACAGACAAGTTGTTTGTTTATTTTACATCATTATTTATTAGAAGGAAAAAAATAAAAAGATATATATCATTGAACTTTACTATCAACGCATAATCCAACTCCGATTACTACAAGTCCCATACCAATCCATGTTTCTTGATAGATTTTTTAATAAAAAAAAATTATATTAATGGTGAATCTTTTTAATATATATATATTAATTATTGAATATATCATCAATTGGAATATTTACCCTTGGATCCAATCTCTTCACCTATTAAGCTTGCAGCCAATGTAGTAAATATAAATGTTAATGAATTTGTTATTGGAATTGCTAATGATAAATCTGATTGTCCAAGTGTATAATAATAAACAATCGAGCCACTTAAATTAAGCAATAAAGGTAAGATATACTAGTAATTTTATAAAAAAAAATTTATTATTATTTATCATATGATGATTTTTATAATTGATTGTTAATTTACCTGCCATCTAGTAAACAAAAAAATAATCTCAAAAACTGTTTGTTTTAACCAATTATCATGTTTAATATTTTCAATTCCTTTGCTTCCTTTTTTAATAAACGGATTTGTGAATCCCCAGCATATTGCAACTTTAATAATAATATCAATGAGGTTAATTATTTTTAAATGTTAAATATTATTGTATTTATTTTAATAATAATAATTTGCACCTTACCTAATAAAAATCCAATTATGTTGTCTATTAATTTAAATATTAAAAAAAATTGTTGATTTATTATTATCATTCATTATTAATAATAAATTATAATTAAAAAATTTTTACTTGCGTGTTATTGAATTATTTTCCATCAAAATTTTTTTGTGTAACGAGAATTTTCTATATTATCTCTTAAACGGTCAGAGTATTCTTAATGGTAACACAAATTAAAGTTTTGATCATTCTTATTGGTCAATTTAATGATCAGCAAAGTAAAAACAGTCAATCGACCAACTTTTAAAGAAGATTTTACAAAAACCATAAGGACAACAACTAGATTTTTATTTATAGGTTAATCGGCTGAATCTCAAAGATAATTTCATATTAGAAAAGTGATGCCTCAGAAAAAAATTTTTATATCAGAAAAATTTTATCAGCTATCAATAGCCGATTAACCGTTTAGGGGATAAATAAAGTAAAAAAATTAAATATAATATGTCTACTATTAGTTTCAGTTTATACTTACTGGTATGTTGTTACAGTGGCGTTTCTTCAATGGCAATGGTAATGTAAATTTGTAGTTTACGTGCTTCCTAGTCCTAAAATTATATCTGTTGTCAACACTAGTGTCAACATCATTTGTTACGGTTGTAATTGTGGTAGTTATTGGTGTTGGTGTCAATGTTGATGTCAGTGATATACTACCATTGGATATAGGATTGTATGATGGACTTAAGATATTTGAACCAGTATTATCATCTAATGGTTGTGACGCATCAATCTGTAAAATAAGAAAGTTGTTTGTGTAGATCATGTACATAGTTATATGAATACACGTGTATATATTATACACATATGAATGATGAATTAATAGGCTTATAAACTCACTTCGATTTCTTTAATTAAATTTTTAACGAAATTGATTCCATCTTCTATAATGTTTGATTTTTGATCAATTGCATTATTAATATCTTCTAATTTTATATGGAATTTCTGGCTTATGCTAGTTTTGATTAAGGTTTCTGGTCAAAACTGCTTCTATTAGTAGCCGAAATTGCCTAAATACTTTGGGCAAAATTATTTTTTTATAAGCCCAAACTACTTTTTGTTATTAGCCAAAATTGGGCGAAATTATTTTAAAGTTGTTTAA